TGTTATTTAAGAAGAATTCGCTAAATATTCTGTGATCATTTGGGGTGGAGGGTTCGACTTTAAAAAATTCACCAGTAACGCGGCCAAAACTTTCACTCAGGTAGTTCACTGGATACTTCCTTAAGAAAATCATAATATTTTGTGCCCACTTTGGGCCTGACCATAATAGGGAGGTTGAGTGTCTAGTTGCGGATGTGGGTTTCCTGTTTGGGATTTACATCACCAGCATTAACATCCATATTTTTATTATTACTTAACACGTTTACATTTTCACCATTAGGATTAGAAACAGTAATATTATTCACAACATTCTCAATACAGGCATTAATATGTTCATCACATAGGTCGTTACACAATTCACTATTTTTATTTACATTTGGATTATGAACAGATAAATTTGCAAATTTATTTTGCAGAGGTATAATGGCCGGGGGCTGAGTCAGCTCTAACACCTTTGGCCGTTTTAGAGGGTTTTTGAAATCCATCATTACTTTTGTCAGCATGTTTGGCTGAATTTTTTCGCTTATTCTTAACAATTTTACTAACATTAGAATTAACATTTGAATTTACATCACAATTTTCATCCAAAACATATTTAGCAGAATCATACAAATTATAACAAAGCCATGCGCACTTATCTTGTAGATCAACAGAGTAATCCTGGTACATTTGCACATTTTTGCGAATTTCCTGGATAATATTTTCTGAAAGAAACACAGGCGTATCCAGTAATACACTATCACGTTGCATAGCAGATTGAAGCTTCTCAAGACACACACCGTAAAATTGTTCAGTGTCTGCGCAAGCCTGATCTAATTTTTGCCACGTTACTGCAGTTCATGTATCACGAAACATTTTAACATTGACTCTAAGCGTGCTGCAATCACAGTGGTCCAGGTGTCGACTGCTCTTCAAGAAAAATGGTTCAGTTATTCCACACCAAACGGTGTGGAATGACTATGCAATCGAATGCAGTAGGAGAATGCAATGGAACTAGGCAGATTACATAAGGGATTTTTTTGGCCCAAATAGATTAAAAGCGTTTTGAATCAGTATCTTCATGTTTTAGGACCGAATTCAGGCTTCAAAAATTGGACATTAGCGATATGTAAGAAAACGATTTCAAGATTGTACGCACTTGTGCGAGTGACTTGCGATGTCACATTTTCTAATCGCTAATTCATGGTTTTCACGGACGAATTTCTCCCTTACACGGATGGCGCACTTGACTTTTATCGAATTTAACGCCTTTAAATGATAATTTGCTTACTTCAAAGTTTCTTAAGGGTATACAACATATTAAACCCGTGTAACAAAAGGTTAAGTTAGATTCCAACCCATTGTTCGTTTAACAATATTGCATACAGCGCTATTTCCCTCCTGGTGGTGAGGTTTCGAACTTTCGTTTTTCGCGGAAAATAAATTCCCATGACCTCCTTTACACCGTTGCCAAGTTTGATAACATTTGATCCAGTAGTTTTCCTTTTATGACCGTTTCAAAGTGGAACTTTAATTATAACCACCCTGTTATATTATTAAATTTTAATTTGAAGCTATGCGTTATATGTATACCATATGTAAGATTTTCGCTTTTATGGAAAAAAATAAAGAATCGAAGCAAAGACACTTAGGATAATGGACCAAAACTGAAAAAATTTCGCCTCCCTGCGAAAATAAAATATTGAAACTTCGACCTTGAATTTATTGGAATATCCGAAATATTCGATTTAACTTATCTCCTAAGTCCTAGTTCCGACAACAATTCCGTCAAAAATTCTGAATGACTGAATGAATGGTAATAAAGTAATTAGAGTGTAATAAAAATAGATAATAGAATTTACGCTGATGCATATTTTTGTCTGAATGCAGAACATGTAATGGAAGAGAAGGTTTGTAGAGATCTGTTTTTGACATGGCTCTAAAAGTAGATGTCATATACCTTTTGCCTCTTCAATGTCAAAAAAACTTTTGTTTGAGAGGTAACTTTAGTTTTTGGGAAAGAAAAAAAAAAAAAAAAAAAAAAAAAAAGACAAATTGTTTCAGATTGTTTTTACTTGCTTGTACGAAGTAAAAAGGAAGTATTGTAATCGCGAAAAGTTTCAGGCAGCATATTTCAACGAAAATATCCATTTTGACCGCTATCGAATGCAATTTAACGATGTTTTTGCGTGATATCTGTACGTAAGAACAGAATAAAATATTCTTTTCCTTCAAAAAAATTATAAAACTGTTTTAAAATGAAACCTGAAGAGAATTTTTCGTTGGGTCTGTACGAACGTATGTACGTACGTATCTCGCATAACTCAAAAACGAGTAGCCTCATAACGTTGAAATTTTGTAAATAGGACTGCTATAACATGTAGATGTGCACCTCGTATTTTGGTTGCAATCGGCCGCACCAAACGTATATAAATATATTTATATATATATCCACTCTGTTACCCGGCTCAGCGATCTCAGTTTCTTTACTCTTATATGTTTGTAAATTGTATATTTTTTGCTTTAAAAATGATTGAAATATGTTGTTCTTATTTTCCGGTTAAGGTTTTTATGCCTTTAGTAAATCTGTATGCAATATTTTTAGAATTATCAACAATTTTAAAGTTGTTTAAGTGCCGCTAAGCATAATAATTTTTTTTTATGGCGGCCATTGCTTGTTTACATTTGAAACAGCAGACTAGTGGATTTGTTGCCAATCTAGAGAAACTTAGCTTCGCAACAACAAAGATAACGCCTTCATTTATTATTGCGAATTAAATCATGCTTAATCCTTTCTGGATTTTTTTTCGAGGAAATAAGTGTTTAAGATTTACTTCGTAATTTTTAATACAGTTATTTTGAGTTTTTATTTATTTTTGCCTTGTCGCGAAGTCAGAACTCAATTAATTGAATGAGAAATACTCAATCGTCTGTGAAAAACTGTTTCTTTTTTGTTTTGTTTGCTTAATTACTTTTATACATCGTTTTAGATTTATTATAGTATTTGAATAGAGCATGTGGCAACGATTAGATAATTGTTTATATGATATAAATTTTGTGCATTCTGAGTTATAATATGAACGAAATATAATACTGTTAAATGAACCTAGCGCTAGAGTGTCGCTGTGGTAAACAAACAGAGTGAATTTTAAAGAATGCATTTATTCTATTGTGGTTTATGCGATGTCGGCTAAGTAGATTTAATTCAATCCAATAAGTTTAATGGAAATGCAAGGAAAAATGCGTATAATTTAATATTCCGTATAAGGAAGTCATGTGGTGTACACATCAGATTTTTTTAAAAATATTTCTATGGAATTGACAATTAGAACATAGTCGAATATTATTGTTATTGTAAATTGTTACATTGAATTACACTGAATTTGAAATAATTATTTTGTTTAAAAAATACTTGGTTTGTTTCTATCAATATTTAGTTAATTAGTTAGTTTGTTGAAACAGAAGTTTTCATACTATCTAATTCCTACACAATGAATAACACTTATTAAACACAACAAAACATTTATTACGGAAAGAATGCAATTATTAGGCTACAACAAACCTCCATCTTAGCAGAAGTAAACGGGGAAAAAAAAAAAAAAAAAAAAAAAATTCTGAAAGGTTTCAGATTTTAAAATTACGTCCAAAGGGGCTTTTTTTTAACATTTTGTCTGTTACCTTTATTTATTAAATATCACGTTCTTCGCACTTAAACCATAAAGTTCAGTTTAAGAGCAATATCGCAAAATAGTTTTAAATTGAGCATATTTTTAGAATTTCCGATACGCAGTCTCCCGCACTGGAGATAAAAGTGTTTTTTCTGTAAAACGTTGCCATTGCTCGCTTTGAAATCCTTGAGTTTGTTAATCGAAAATTCGTTAAAGATTTACAAAATATGAAATAGATAATAAAATAAATTTCAAATTTTAAATTTGGGCTTCCACACGCCCATATTTGCAGTAGGATTACGTCATTCAAAATTCGATAGCTCTATGTACCGTTGTTTTATCACAATGCGAGAAATGTACATACATTTATGCAGATTTTTTAATTATTTAATTTCCTCAAATATAATGCAGGACTCTAACATTTGGTGGCAACAGTTTGAAAAATGAAACGGACATTTATAGTGAACCAACGCGAAATCGCAAAACGAAAACAATAGTCCTTCAGGGACAAAGCTCCTTTGAACTAATAAATATTGCCAATCCTTAATAGCTGAAATTTTTTCTGCAAGGTAACAGTGATTTCCATATTCATTTTAGCGTATAAAACGCGAATTGAGATTGATGATAAATTATAGTTGTTTTGTTGTCGATTTCAGTTTGTTATTCATTAAGCAAATAAAATCGGATACATTTAATATTTCTGTGTAAATCTGCTTGAACTTGCCAAAACATGTCATTCAATTTTAAAAGACTATATGATAAAAATAGAGAACCTTTGGAACTACCGGAAAGTGAAGTCAGTTGGTAAATTCCACTTACAAACCAAGGATAGATTGAAGACTGTAAATGTTAGTGAGCTCTAAGTTTTAACTTTTCTCAGCACTCACGTTTATATGGAAAATTTACTTAGTTAATAAAATTTTAATGGCAACAAAAATTTTCTGTATGTTTAAAATTATTAAAAGCATATTTTTTTCCTAAGATAAAAAAAAAAAAGCGTTTGGACTTATCTAAGAGGCAGCGCAATTTGAATAATTTCTGGAAAACGGGAAATGGCGGTAGGCTATATTTGAGAATTTTCTTGCCTGAATCTTGAAGATACAAAAGAATACACGGTTTATCTTATTTTTATGACTATCGAAAAGCCTGTAAAATTACTGTTATATTATTCTAGAAAATCTTTAGATGGGTTCGTTAGCTAAATAATTGGTTAACTTAGATTTTAATGAGAAAAACAATTGGACCTGAAATTAAATTGATAACTGAATTTTATATCTATAGAGATAAGTATAGTTTGCAGTAGAAGCTATAACACACACTCACAAACAAAAAAAAAAAAAAAAAAAAAAAAAAAAAAAAACTTTCGAATTACTTTTTAAAGTCAAAACTGAAACACGTAATACAGAAAAGAAAAGACTGGTATCTGGTGATTATCTCCTTTCATAAAATTATCGCAAGTTTTCAGATGTTGTCACTCTAGCAAATAAATGTTAAAATGTCTGACGAAGTACAGGAACAAGAGTTTTACACCGGCAAAGAAGCTTATCTTTCGACGATATTCAGTAGATGGCGCACGTTTCATATAATTACGATGACTGTGACATTTCTGAGTGCATTGATTGCTTGCTTCTCATTCGTGGCTTATGGTAGTAAATTTCAGCCATATTGTCCTCTATTTGCGAAGTTGAGAATCAGTAAAATAGAAGCAAATTCCAAAAATTATACGCTTTACTTTAAAGTAAAAAAAAAGGAACCAGATGGATCGATTTGGGGTCCAGACTCTGTATGCGCTGTTGTCCTCTACACTCCTATTGTAAGCATGCTGACTGCACTAACGTGGATTCTTCTGTTCTGTAGCCACATTGGCCAACGAACTGCAAAAGGTAACTTCAGGTACGCATATCAATTTATTTTATTCATTCATTAAAAACAGAGGCTAACTTATATAAGGTGCTTACCCTGACCCTTTATTGCCGTGTAGTGTAGAACAGCGGTTCTCAATCTGTGGTACGCGTACCACTGGTGGTACGCAAGAGAAAAACACGTAGTACGCAAAGAAAGAAAGTATTTTTAACTATTAAATTCAAAATTTTAATATCCCAACATCCTGTTTAAGTTTTTTCTCTAAAACTTTTAAATGTATGCGATCTGATCTTTGTTCAAGGTCAATAGTCGCTCATTGACTTTAGCAAACTAATCCGTTTTTATTTCCAGTCCAGGCTTCGAGTCCCAGCGAATGGGCTGGCTCATGGAGGTAAGAAGTAAGTTTATCCACACCTCCATGGACTGGCTGCAGGGGCGTTTCCATGGTTTTCCCCACTTGTAAAGTGGATACAGGCCAGTTTCCCTTAACGGAGCATCCCAACCTTTTCGTGTAGGGCGGAGCACGTAATAAGTAAAAAAAAATAAATAAATAAATAAATAACAAAATAGTAGAAATCGAAAAATCTTTTTTATGAAGCTGAAAACGCAAGCGGGTTGAATAATTCTGCAAGGAGTGGCTATTTGGTGGATTGTGCAGAAATAAATATCAAAAGTGGGGGCACCTATGATATATTAACCCCCTGAGCGGCTAGGGCTTTCGCTAAGAAAGCACAAATTTCCCAAAACTACTATGAGAACAAGTTATTTTTTTGATTTTAATGTAAAAACTCTCCTGGAATTTCATACCTGTATTTGTGTACTTTTGATATATTGCCTTAATTTTTTTGACATATTTTAATATGCACGTATATAGTATACCTTCTTATAGATATCACAAAAAATATTCTAGACGCTTAGAGGGTTTTAACACATTTGACAATACAGTTCAATTAATTGATTTCATTATTTGAGTACCCCACCCTTTTATTATTCGCGATGTAAAATTGTAGGTGAATTCTGTAAATAAAATTATTTAATCTGATATAGCCATTCTGTTCGTCAAGATTTGAGCCCATGCCAAGCTACCACGTTTAGCGATAGTAATTCCTAGCCTACTGGCGAACTGAAGTTACAGTAAAAGTTGATACTTCATTTGGCGACTGACAACTTGCGTTTCATCCATTCTTTGTTTGTAATAACAATAATACAGTACAAAGTCCGTAATCCGGACGTCCATTATCCGAAATGATCTATAATCCGGACTTCAAAGCCACAAACTTTACGCATGCGCGTAAAGAATGCGCATACATTACGCATGCGCATATAGAATGCGCATACATTACGCATGCGCGCGTTGAAACAAATGTTTAATAAAGTAGTGGTGTGGTGTATTTAATTATGGCAAAGCACACTAGGGCTACCTGCCTAAGAGGAGGGATGCCTTCGTGGAGGACTTTCTAAGGGAAACTGGCTCGTATACACGTTACACATGGGGAAAACCATGAAAACGCCCATGCAGCCGGCCCGTTCGCGGGATTCGAACCTCGGACCAAACTACCAGTGTTCAGCGACTTTACCGCTCGGCCGCTGGTGGGCTGTTTAATAAAGTAAAGAAATAAATATTAAGCTTCTTTTTTTAAAAAAAAATTTGATACCCTTTAGATCATAATGGCTCTTTATTTCATAAATTACGGTTTCATATTTTTAATTGTATAATTTCTGCATGCCATCTTACCAAATTTAAATTGATGATCTATAATCCGGAAAAATCCCTAATCCGGAATAGCCGAAGTCCCGACGAGTCCGTATTACGGACTTTGGACTGTAATATTAATCTTTTTTCACGTGTAAGTGCACTGGTATTTGTCAGCTTTAAAGTAGAATCATTATTTAAATTTAAATTTGAATACTGTTATCTATTCAAAATAGCATTTTCTTGCGAAGCTGAGCTTGAATAAAGTACTGCAGAGTTTTGTGCTTTAAACTAATAGACTATATGAGTATATTTCTGAAGACTATAATATATTATGAAACAGGCAACGAATTGGAAAACTGAATTTATGGGAATGGGGATGGCGATTAGGCTCGGAAGAGAATAGAATAGGACGCTTTTCATCAATGCAGCCATTGAATGGTGTTTTCGAGGATTGGTAGTCGTTTGATAGGGCTAGTGGTGTGGCATTTTGTGTGTTACAGGGGCCGTACAGGCGTCGTGGGCGAGGGGACAAGGGGGACATCTGTCCCGACGCACACATCCAAGGGAAAGCCCAACTGATGTACGAAATTTAGAAATTGAATATTTTCCATCTTAGCAATGGAGCGGAAACCTTAAAACTGTCCCGCGTTTAAAAAACCTAGTACGACTCTGATCCGTTGCAGGTAATTCACAAGTACAAAATACAATAAACAAAATATTTAAAACTAAATCAATTTTTCAAAACGGTCTTTTGTTCGTATTGTACAAGGAAAGGAAGTTTTTAATCGCTAAATTTGCGGGATTGTATATTTCAACGAAAATATTCATTTACCGCGTCGAGACACGAACGCTTTTGTTGACATTTTACGGAACAAAATACGAGACTCTAGAACTTTTCCCAAAACGGGGCAAAAGAGGTACAGTGTAGGAGAAAGAGGAGATAAGATACTGAACGTCTATATGTGGTGTCGGAATACTCAGAAACAGAGAAAGTAGTCTCAGAAAAAGAAAATGTTTTGGTATATAGGACTGCTAATACATGTAGTGTGGCATGGCCCTGTGGGGGGGCCAGGGCCCGAAAACGAAGTATGTTTATGTAGAAAACACTGGTATTTTAGAAGCTTGCAGTCATCATGCTGAGAATGGAGATGGTGGCACTGCACAACGTCTGAATCTGCGTAGTTAGATAGACCGGATGCATAAACGAAAAACTTTCAGGAGGCATTTTCAAAACAAAATTTTTCCAGGATAATTCACATCAATCATTTTTGAGACAAGGATTTTTGCGTACATTGGTTTTAAAAAGTACGGTAGCGTCTTCTTCGATCTGTAGTAGGATAGAATTAGCGAAGCACGACTATTTCTAAAGAGGTGAAGAAGATACTTGAGCATTTTAGGTGTTATGTAACGTGGAAAGTCGAATGAGGAGGAGAACTAAAAAAAAAAAGGTTGCCAATAGTGTATGCAAGCCATCATAAACATGCAATTATGTGATATAACCCCACTGTTTATTCCGTGAGGTCAGTTTTTTTTAATATGTTGGTAAAAATGACTGAGTTAACACAAGGGCATGCAATAAAGTTATACCATTTAAAAAAAGTGTTTAAGTTTTACAGCCATATTTTGAAACCCGGTGTAGCAGCCTCAAAAGTTAGTTTAATTAAATTGAAAAGATAGGAAATTTCTGCGGTCTGTTTTTTTGTTTGCCTGTTCTTGGTGTGAATATCTTTCAGTTTTAACCGATTTTTGGGGATTTTTTCTCTTTTTTGCCCTTCTTGCATGTTTAACTGATTATGGAACATGTCTCTATGAATTCTGCCATGTTTCTGAATGTGAATATTCGTATAATTTATATTCCGTACAAGGAAAATATTTAATATCATAAGGTTCTTTATGTTATGTTTATGTTTATTGTATACTGTCCGTTCGCTGAAGCCAACCTCCTTTTCCGGTTCGAAAGAAAGTTTTTGGGGGGGGGGTTGGGAATCTGTACCTTAAAAGGAACTACCGTACACTGGTACAGCCTATCGTAAATAAGACTATGCTCAGTTTCGACTGCATCCAGTGCCACCTATTTTATTACATTCTTCTTTTTGCGAGCGTTTTATACCGAGCAGTTGGCTGTTTGGAATTCTGATTTTTGTTTCAGTTGCATGCTTTCTTTTCCAGTTATAGCTCCCAATGGAAACTCGTGCCTCCAGCTTGCATCACTGGCTTCATGATGACGGGAGTAGCTTTTGCAGCAGCCGTTATTCTCACAATTGGTGGAAGCAAATTTTGTGACAGTTTTACAGTGACTGAATTGGAAAGGTAAGAAAATTCTTTAAATCTATAACTACTCTGAATGCTCTTCTTCAGATGTAATTGCAGTGTTAAAGGGATTTACCAACGTCACTGTCATCAGAATTTTCAAGGCATGGCTGGTTGTAATTAGAAATGGGCAAAACAGCTCATTTATGATATCGGATCAAAACCATTCCTCTCACTGACAGGAATCGGTTTTTTTTATGACTCACCGCTCACAAGCAATAATAAGCCCGGTCCGGAACCGGGGGGTATCAAGGGTGAATAGCAAAAATGGAGTGAAGAACGGGAAGAATCGAAACGAGTAGGGAAATCGGAACTGGCCAGTGAAGCAAAAAATATTGAACGAGCACCGGGACCGGTTAGTGATCTTATATATAAGGCCTGCTGAAATGCACATTTACTTTTTCAACTCATTCTTCCTTGGCTAGCTCATGTCTCTTCGCTTAGCTGTTTCTTCTACTCCTCCCCGGGGGTTGATTCAGGAGAATTCCTGGGAAGTACTGGGTAGGATCTGTACTTAGGCAGTCTCAACCACGGGGGTATATAACCAGACTTTACGGGACTATAGCCCCCGTTCATTCGGAGGTTGGTTCGGGATTGGCAGGGACCGTACTGGTACTGTCGTGTCCGATCTTTCGGCTATTCTGGAGCTAGATTGGAGATCATCGACCGAGGTCTTCTGGGGCTTTACGCCTTTCAGTTCTCGTGGCGGGGACTGATAGCGTGAACAGAGACCCTTGTGACAGCATTTATGCCGATGGTGGGGTGCCTGGAGGCAAGGGTGTTTAGGATTTTCAGTTTTGCATCCTTGCTTTGCCCAATGCTTTGTATAAAGCCGGGCGTGAACTGCGGGGGTTGCGCCTCTGTGAGCACGAGATTCCTATCTTTTAAGTTACAGTTAAAGTTGAGGAACCTTAAGAACTGATAAGCGAATAATCCGCTAGTTAGTTCGGTAGACAGAAACGGATACCCTTTTATTTCCCAATAAAGTTCACAGTAGAGATTCCTCTGAGTTGGGAGTTTAACTAAAGCCTCCACTCGGGCTTGAACTCAGGAAACTAAGAAATAAAACTCAACTAATCTTAACTAAAAAGATATACCCGAAGCTATCAAGATTCTAACAGAGTTGACCCCTTAACGCTAATTAACGGCGAAGCTATCAAGGGCCTAAAATACGGCCAACCGTAAAAATAGCTTAAGAGAGAGAGTAGCCTGAAAGTCGAACGCGCGCTGCTCAGAATATTTGACTCTCTAACGAAGACAGTAGAACTTCATAGTTAAATACTTCTTCTCCTCATTTGCATTTGACCGCGATTCTGAAAATACGTTCTGGCAGGAAGTTGCAAGCTGAAATTCAGAGAGGACAGGAAAGTAACTTTTATCTAAAAATTAATTGTTCGATAAATTAAGATAAACCTTACAATTGGACCATAGATATTCGAGTGGCAGTTCTTTTACAGATCCAGGACGGAATCTATGTCTGGCGTTCTCTGCTGTTTAAAAATGTGATCAGTGTATACAGAATTGTGGGGTACTTGTGTTACCTATAATGATGTGACAAGCAGAAAATGTTTCGTAAGAAAATATTAATCAAGGAATAAAATTGTGTGTTTCGTTATGTACAAAGTTTTCAGTATCTGCAAGTTTCTTCTTCTACTACGTTAGGCCATCACCATCTATAAGCATCGGTTATGATTATAACTACTTGTATTTGTCGCCAGCATTCCCTAATCATTACACATATATAATTAAAATTGAAAAATTATGTAACTACGACTTACAAAACAATATCCTGCACAACTGCTGCTTAGATTACGTAACATTATTATTCACTGTTTTAAATTAAAACAATACAGACTATGCTAGAAAGTTGAAATAAATTCAAAACTTTGTGGAATTTATTACATTAACTTGGACTGAATTGGTAAAATAATTTTTAAAAACAAATATACACAATAATGCATAAAGAAAAAAGTAGAATAATCACAGTCAGACTCAAAACTGTTTCAAGAGGAGGAAGTGTCCACCAACGATATCACCTCTTTTCATGGCAAAATTAGCTACATTTCTGGTAATTATATTTCTGTAAGGTATTATATTATTCTTATAATATAATTAGCTGAGTCACCGAAATTAATTATTTAAATTATTTGTATTTTCGGAAATTAGAAACACCTGCCCTACATAATAATTTTGCCAAAACAAAAGTAAAAAATCTCTTTAATGTAATGCAATAAATACAAATTCGTCTGCTATGCGAAAAAAATTCAAAATGGCTTGATTGCCTACAGATATGTTATATATAAAACTTTAAACAAATACAAAAAAAAAAAAAAAAAAAAAAAAAAAAAAAAAATTTCTATGATATAGCACATTCTGAAATTCATTCAGTTAAATTTAATCGTAAGATTCCCGTTTAAATACAAAATTAAAGAAATTTGCCAAATATAGCTGCACTTGTTGAAAATCTCAGAAAAAAATTACCTTTACATCTTTTTAGTTGCCGTAAACGGAGATACTTAAGAATTTGCAAACGGGTTTACTCTTGACGATTTTTAAACCCGTCAAATAATATTGGCGAAAAAAGTTACTAAGTTACAGATAAATTTAATTAGACAAATTTATAGAAAAATTATAATATTTACCTTTGTACATGCTAGGAATTTCCCTCATCCATTCGCTTCATTTCATCCTGTTAGATTTAAGAATGGGCTTCATAATGTGATAAACCTTCACAGGTCGTGGACTGCTCCTGTTTTCATAAACTATTTTTTAAAACGCAATGGAATTTGATTAGTTGTCAAAGTCTGATAAATAAAATAATTTCTTTTTACTGCTGTTCGACTTCTGTACAAACATTTTTAATACGAACCAATTGATTATAAAGAGAATTTCCTGTTACTTTTTAGAGAGATTAGTGTTCCTATTAATTTATAGTGCTTTTGTGTATTTTTATTTTAAAAAATCACTTTACGGTACAAGTTAATGTAATTAATTACACTAACTTTTAAGTTTGAAATTTGAATTTTTTCAACTTTAACTTTGAATATACATATATGATATGCAACGTTGAATATACATCCTTTCTAATATACGTTGCAACTTTCTAACTTACGTTGAATATCATATTGTTTTAATTTAAAATATAAATAATTATGTATACGTGTGTGTTAACTAATTTTCATCCTGGTGCGAGCGAGCGAAAGTAGAAGTGATAGTAGATATAAAAATGATAGGATAAGGGTTAATAAGCATAAAGTCCTACAAGGGGAAGTTCACGTGCTTCATGAATACACACCCATGCCCCATGCAGCACCCCTCCAGAAATATAGGTTTCATTTTTGGAGATAAAGTTTGTCCCGCTTATTAACATTACGTTTGTCCACAGATATTTTTATAACATTGAACAATGAGAAAAACTATCCTTCAAACTAACCATGGAGTTTAACTAATTTAATATAGAAATATCAAGAGACAATTAAATAGGTAATTTCATAGCATTTTAATCAAGGAAATGCAAAAATGAATGCACAAGTCTGATGAAAAGTTAATAAAATTTATTCTTATCGCAAGAAAATAAAACAAAATGCTGAAATTTTTCCTCGCAGATATTCGTACAATCATGACGTGATGACCATGCATGCGCAGTTTAGCCGAACGGCCTGCAACGCCTCTCTCTGACGAGACTTGCTAAAGAAGAGTAGTTAGTAGGTAGTAGCGAAGTAACGAAGGAAACGTGTTGTATGTCAGCTTAGATGCAAAATACGCAGTTATACTTGTGTGTTAATCGTTTGTACTTATTATTTTATTTTGTGTGTTAATAAAGTTTTGTGCTGTTACAATGGCTGGTTTATGCAAGACCCACATTACGATACACCTACGGTAGGAATTAAATGCATATCCAGAATCTACAAGCCCAACAAAAAGATTATGACAGTGGTGTCAGAACAGGAGGATATGTCATTCTGCAAAGTTCACGGATAAATGTGTGAGTCTTAAAGGTAAGAAATTTGTTCAATTTATTTTGTGGTAAAGTGGAATTCAAAGTTTCAAAAATGGCTGAAGAGCTAACGAAATCTAAAAAAGAACGGAAAGTTATTCGTTCAGCCATTACTAAAGTAACAAATGCTATTGAATCATTAATTGCAGCAGGTAACCTTGAAGACCTTGAAGAATCACTGGAAATTTTAAAAGTAAAAAGCTATTTCTTTGAGAGCGTTAGATGAAAAAATTTAAAACTTTGACTGATGTTAATGACATTGAAACCGAAAGTCGAAAGTGCCTCGGAATACGAAGAAAAGATTGCGAAATGGAGCTTTAGAGGCACAAAATTATTGAAAGAAAAAAGAAATAGCAATAATTCGCTAGTTTCTAATGGTTCTTCTAATGATAGTAACAATTTATCTATTTCTGGTGTCGATAAAAGTTCTGATTATAATGTTAAATTGCCAAAGATTATGATTGATAAATTTTATGGGAATGCTGAAATGTGGCAGACATTTTACAATTCTTTTGACACGGCAATAAATCAAAACGAAAAACTATCTAAAGTAGATAAGTTTAATTACTTGCTTAGCCTGTTAGGCGGTGCAGCTTTAAAAACAATAGAAGGCTTTTCTTTATCTCCAGAAAACTACGACGAAGCTTTTAAAATTCTCAAAGAGAGGTATGGTCGAAAAGATCTCCTTATTAATTCTTACATGCATAAACTTTTAAATTTTTACGGCCTGTCCGAAGTTCTAATGACATTAATTCTTTGAGGGAATTATATGATACCTGCAACGTACAAGTAAGGTCACTAAATTCGATAGGGGTCAAGACCGAATCGTATGGAAAGTTTACTATACCCTTTGTTAATGAAATGCATACCTCAGGATATAACGCTTGATTTTGCTCGTCAAAACGCAGATGAGGAAACTTTTAATGTCGACAACCTCATGAAATTTCTAAAACGGGAAATTGAAAGTCGCGAACGAACTTCATTAAATTTAATTTATTCTAAG